GAAAGATATAACGAGTCTCCTCATCGTGGATTACTTTAAGATAATCTTTCACCATATGATGTCTACTTAGGTGGGAAAAAAATAAATTACATCAAACGACTGTCTAATATTTTAAACAAAAAAAGGGATAAAAAATTAAATATATTAAAAAAAATAAATAAAGTGTAAATTTCAAGAATTAAAAATAATATTTTTGAAAAGGAAAGTTTAAGACAGTGGGTTAATGAGATTTTTTATATAAATAAAGTTTTGTTGACGGATCCTGTTACTTATAAGCTTTGTGATAACAACGGTGAGGAAATTCAAGGGAAGTTTTATCGTGAAGAACTAAAAAAAGTTTAAAAAATGAAAAATATTACATTAATTATTAATGTTAATAATAAAAATGGTGAGAAAAATTATATTAATCATTTTACTACAACATTACCGTGTCAAATTGATGCAATAAATAATAAAAAATACATATCGGTGTTAAATGTTTTTTATCCAAAAACAGCAAAAAAATATTAATGAAGATGAATGCTGGTTTGATTTGGAATTAAAATTTTCAAAATACTTTATTCAAACGGATGATACCACTAAAAACATAGATAAAAGTTTATATCCAATTTTGAAGTTTAATTTACCAAGAATTAAAATACCATCGGGAATATATAACAATAAAAAAGTTTTAGCACTTTTAAATGATTATTTAAACGATTTTAATGTTTTTTTTAATAATAAAAATGGAAAAAATAATATAATTTTAACAAATGAATATACTTGTTACTATGGTCAGGGGAAAGAATCTTATATCAAAAATGGTAAAAAATATGATTTTAAAAATTATATTTGGACACAACCCGTAATGAACAAAATAGAATATATTGATTATGCTACAGGAAATAATACCTTGGAATTTAAATTGACTTTTTAAAAAAAATTAAGTTTTATGTTGGGGTTGGATAAAGAAGAAATAAAATATACATTTGATTCTGGATTTCATTCTAGCGAACGTAAAATTTTTTAAAAAAATAAAATATTTCATTGTCCATACCTTCCTGATGAGACAATTGGGTTAAATAAAATGTTTATATATTGTGATAAAATTGATAGTGAAATTGTTGGTGATTCAAGAAGTGAATTGTTATGTATTGTCCCTTTACATTATGTAGATGAAAGTGGAGACGATTTGTTTGTGTACAACCCTCCAATTATCAAAAAATAATTAATTTCTTCATTTATTAAAGATTTAACTATATAAGTGTTGGATCATCAGGGCAACTATATACCGTTTGATTCTGGAAATATAACGTTGGAATGCCAAATTGATTGAAAAAAATGGAAATTAATTTACGTCCTATTAAAATACCTAATCATAATCATGCTTTATCTCGAAATTTTTTTTGGCCAGATATAGATATATTATATCCATTTAATTTATCAGGAATTAGTAAAAATAATAAAATTTTATATCGAATAAAGAGTTTAAAAACAAAACAATTTCAAAAAAGGGGGATTTAAATTAAATATCTATTCAGTTATTCCATATGATTTTTTTATTAATACAAGTGGAAATGTACAAAAAATACCAGATCTTGGTTATTTAACTAATGTGAAAAATTGTATACCAGATAGTATAAGAAATACTAATAACGAGGCGAATAATATTAAATTTTTTTTATTAATGCATAAAAATTTTTTTTATATTTAAATGGAGGATTAGCCAAATTAGATGCTGTTGCTAATATTAATTTGCAATCAATGCAAATAATGGAATATGAAAAAGCTCCTTCGATTCTATTTTCCAAATATATATTATTTGAATTGGAGTACGATGATTCAGATAATAACTATATAACCGACGAAGAACTAGATATATTTCTGGGCTTAAAATTTGAAGACAAAAATGAATGAAGAAAGAAAAAATAATTTGTATAAATATTATGAAAATGTATTAGAGGGTAATGGAATGAAATATTGTAATCCAAATTTTAATTATATAAAATATAAATCTAGTTCTATCACTGAAAAAAAGGAATTTGTCCACCTACTGGCTTAACTGATGTCGCACTTAATAATTTATTAAAAAAACAATTATCAGAATATACTGTAAAAGAGAAAGAAAAGGAAAATAAAAAAGATTTTCCAAAGAGAAAAAGAAAGAGAATTGATGATGATTTATTGAATTTTTTGCAGAAATAAATTAAATTTCTTGTAAAAAATATATATTTATAAGCTATTAAAAAAAATTATGATTTAATTTTATATCTTTTGTTGGTTGTGTGAACTTCTAACTAACAAAATAATAAAAAATGGCAAGCGTTAGTGAAAATGAAATTGATAAAAATGATCATGTTGTAAGCAGTAGTTTAAATTTGTTTCAACCAGTTCCTCAAAATTACACATTTTTAGATTTTAGACCTATTTATTTAAATCCTGAACCTGACGAACCTTATGCAAAAAAATTTGAATGTGTAATGTCAAAATCCGAATATGGTTTAATGAGAACTGAGGACTTCGATATGAGTGGTAGAATAAAATTAATGGCTGGCGGGACTTTATTTAATAATTTAATGTATGCGTTTATCCAAGACCTCTAACTAACATGTGGTGTAATATAAATTTATATATTAATGATGTTTTAGTAAATAACATTACTAATCAGTATAATAGGATTTCATATTTAAAAAATATTTTATACACACCATATGAATCACGTGGCAATTTAGGCGATGTGAATCTAGATATATTGGATGGAAGTGGAAAAATGGATGAAGTAAATAAAATTGCGTAAAATACGACTGCAAAAGAGGAAGCTGATTTAAATGGAAAAAATGCACGAGTAAAGCTTATAAATAATGAGACTTGCAAAATTATAGATCAACTTGATATGACTTTGATAAATGGTTTTAGTAAAACAACATGGATTACATCAGCTAGTGATTTGAAATTTCAATTTGCAAGAGCAGAAAAACAAATTATTTGATGGGATTAGCTGGTGATAATCCTCAAAATTACGATGTTCATCTTAAAGATTTTAAGATAAATACTAGAATGTTTAAACCAAATGAACAATTGAGTAGAGCTATAAATAATAAACTGATACAAGAAAATAAAGAGTGTCATTATTTTGTAAACAATATAGAGTTGTTACAAAAACTCTACCTATTGGATCCCGAGCAATCAAATGTTATGATGTATTCACAGGGGGGTTACCATCAAGAGTTTTTATACTTTTTCAAAAAACAACAAGATTTAATGGTTCATATCAACTAATTGCCACTTATATAATTTATTGAAATTCCGTTATTGTTGTGCACGTACTAATTGTGCAGTAACACATGAGTATCGCGGACAAAAAGAAGCATATTGGAATTTAAAGAAAATTTTAAATAAGAAAAATGAAAAAAGGAATTTTGATTACTCCCGATTTAAGTCTAAATGTGGAATTATCGGATTTGATTTATCTCCTAATCAAGATAGTTTCACTGAAGTTTTATCGGGTCAGAACACAGGGGATTTTGGATTTGATATTAATTTAAAAGCAGCATTAACTGAAGCACACACGATGATATTTTTTGGAGAATTTAGAAATCAAATGAATTATGGATATAAAATTCCTATATATTTTGAATATCGATTTTAATTTTGTTATTCTTGTTGTGTATTCAACATGAGAAGAACAAAAAAATTATATAAATTAAAGAGAAAGAAAAAAATTTAAAAAGAAAAACTTTAAAAGTAATCGATATTAATTTTCCATTAAAAAACCAAATTATACACGTTGATCCAGTAATAAATCCTAATTATTTATGATGGATGATAAAGAAAATGTAAATGAATGGTGGAAATATGATATGGAAAATGAAGATAATGAAGAAAATTCGGAAACAATTATTAAAGACGAAGAGAATTTAATTAAGAAAAAAATAAATTTGATGAAGAAAAATTTGATTCTGATGATGATGATGAATATGATTTTGATGATGATGATAATGATGATGAAGATGAGGATGATGATGACGAAGAAAATATTTTAAATGAAGAGGTTTTTAAAGCAATTGTCAAATTAGTTGAATTTTCAAAACAAAAGAAAAAAAGTGAAAAAAATGACATTATTCCAAGTTTAAAATTATTTATTAATTCTAGAGTAGAAAATAGAATAAAACTAATTAAAAATAAGAATATATTTAAAAATTTGAGTTTTATTTTAAAAAATATTTTAAATGATAAAATAATTTTGCATGAAGAAATAAATCCATATCATAAGAAAATGTTATTAAGAAGTTTAAAACAAAAACATAGTGACGATATAAAACATTTATTATGTGAAGATGTTCAAACAGGATACTTATTAGAAGATGCTTATAACATAATTAAAAATAACGGTAAATGATAGTGTTGAAAAATTTGGTCTTGTTGACACAAGTCAAATAAATAAATTATTAGCAGAATTGAAGAGAAGACGCGAGGAAGACGATTTGATTAATGGGATAACTAATAATACAAAAAGACATTTCGGTAATTCGTAAATCAGACTTGCTTGGAACTTCAGAAAAAAATGAATATTTAAGAAAGCAATTCAAATCTTTCATCACATTCAAACAAAATGTTTACCTCGCTCAGGAATCAATGAATATTTAAGAAATTAGCTCCAAACTTTTGTGACAAAGTTTTCATCAATATATATCTCTTCGTCCCTTTCGTTGACAAATGGGACTTCTACATTTTCTTTTCCTATTTTATTTACTATGTCTTCAAACACATCAAATTCACACCAAAATTGAAAAATGGGAATAGTGTAATTATGCTCAAAAAAAGTTACAATCATTTTTTTTAAATAAGATGCTTTCGTTAGAAGTATTATACAAAATTTGAAAATTTACTCTCTATTTATACAAGTCATTTAGCGAAAAGAACTATCTTTATTTAATAGAAAATATATTTCAGAAAATAAAATTAAATATTTACAACATATATTGTTGTCAGTTCATTGGGAAAAATACCTTTCCCAATTCTTACATTATGTTTACTTTTTATATGATTGTCGAAAACAATATAACCATGATCATTCTCATTCATATCGTCTATTAAACATTCCATGAAATTTTTTGATAAACCCTTATTAAACAATAATATTTTTAAATTCCTATTATCTCCTACATTATTGAATACAATAATGTATTGACTATTTGTTCTAGCTGTTCTTAATTTTGTATTACCGTACTTTAAATTTTGACATGTAAATATGATAGAAAAATCCTCATGATGACAGTCTCGTGTAGCTATTTCATCCAATTTTTTTGTATTATCTTTATTATTCGTTGCATTAATCATCAAATCGTCCAGTATTATTAATGTTTGATTTCCTAATTTTTGTTTTATGTCAGTTACAGAGGGTATGTGCAATTTGCATTTGATAAATTCGTAATTTTGCAGGGCTGTATTTTTTTGTTCATTAATAATAGATTTTATTTCGTCAAACATTTCTTGATAACTAGACGAGTAATAATATAAAAGTTTTGTAAAAGGAGGTTCAAAGATTTCATCATTAAATTTTATCAATTCTTTTATAAAATGTGTTTTTCCACATTGTGATGGTCCACAAATAGTCATCATAAAAGGATGTTGAAATTTTACAACTGGTTTATATATCATATTTTCAATCTAAAAAATAACCATAAGGAATTGTAAAAAAATTATCTAATATAATACGTTTATCAAAAATGAATGCAAACTTTTTCACTTCTTCGTTTAAAAATACATTTTGTTGGTTATCACGTGATATTTTTTCTTTATAAATTACTTCAATTATTTTTTCATTATCTTTTACACACTCATTTATCGAATCAATGTTATTTTTCTTTTCCCATCACCCTTTAAAGAAAATCCTTTCGCATGCACTATTTCCTTATTTTTATCTGTTTTAAAAGAATAACTTTTTGGTCCCGTAGAACAAAATGATACAATATATTCACCATTTTTTAATTCATTAGTAAGGTCCCCTAGGTAATTACCCATCAACACTAATGTAAATTATTGAATCGGTATCATAATATAAGACTTTGTCACCCAACTTATGTAATATATTTAAAAGCTCTAATCTTGCATAACTTGTTACAAAAGAAGCAATAACAACATTACGATTGGGTAAAATTGATGAACATGTTTCATTTTTTTTATGTGTTGCTCTTAAAATATCCGAAGACACGATATTTAAAGAAGTTAATTCATTAGTATGATTGTTTGCTTAATATAGTAAATCATATAAGTTATTAATAAATGATACTGTAACTGCATTATCACTTTGTGCAAACTTTCCCCATAATGAATTTAAAATCATTTTAACAATGGTACGAATACATATATTTTTCTTAATATTACTTCTATCTAATTGAATTCCCTCGTGTTCATAATAATCTAATATAAATTCGTTTAATTTTTCTTCATTAACAGTTTCATCCTCATTATAACATTCTTTAGGAATACCGCTATTTTCTTGTTTCATTTTCATAAAGTTGTCTACAAATCCCCCGAAAATTTTACCCTTATTTTTATAATGATAAATTTCATATACTTTAATTATTCTATATCCACATTCAATAGCTTTATTTATTTCAACACTAGTCCATGTACCTCTTAATGCTCTCTTTTCATCATTATGATTGCATTTTTGATTTTTTTCCATAGCACAAGTGTAACACAGTGTAAATATCAATTTAGTATCAATGCGTGAGGATAAAACAGGAAATAAAAGTTTAGTAGGGGGTAATATGCAACATTTAATTAACCCAAACACACTACCGACATCAATATTTGAACATTCTTCCTCTAAATATATTTCAGGATGATTTAAAGGATAATCATACTTTTTTGAACATATGGGTATAATGACGTAAAGTCTTTGACATGCGTTCGTGTGCAGTCATTCTTTGACATGCGTTTGTGTGCAAATAGAAGATTGGATTAATTGGTTTTGGGACGATAAAGTTGGTGAAAAGACTGAGTCATATTTGCGATTCTTTCTTGTCGATGATATATTAAAACGAAACAATTTGTATCATCAGTAAATTGGACTTTGGCAAAATTTAGAATGTGTAACATACCAACTAATTCAAGGTTTTATTCATGCCTTTGTTTACGAATGGAAGATTGGCTTAACTGGTTTTGGGATGATAAATTTGGTGAAAAGCCTGATTCCTTTTATCGATTCTTTATTGTGGATGAAGTATTGAAGCGAGACAATTTGTATCATCAGTAAATTGGACTTTGGACTTTCCTTATTATCATTCAAAAAATTGGACTTTGGACTTTCATCAATGTAATTATTTTTTTATTGTATTTGAAATATAACTTTTTTTATAAAATCTTCTTGCTTATATATTTTGTATTACTCTTATTCACTTTTCTAATATATATATGTATATCATCACAGGCTCACCCTTCTCTATTTTTATGTTTACTACCGCTGACTGCCTCAAAAACGATCCCCCCGGTTTTTTTTATTATAAGATGTATTATGACTATTTTTAGACATAATACATTTTATAATAAAAAAACTTGAGCCTGCGATGATATATATATATATATATTAGTTAACTACTCTTTTGGAGCATTTTGTGACTCGTGTAGCCTGATTGATTAATTGAGTAAGCTGATAGGTTTCGTAAAGTGATTTAAGTTTCTTTGTTTTCTCTAACATTTGGTCACATGGTTTTAGCATGTCACAATTTAGATCACCTAATATGTACATTTCTAGATTTTCATCATCCATTGACTGTATATATTTTTCAAATTCATTAAAGAACTCAGAAGGAGCACTAGGGGGTCTGTAAATTGTGGCAACTAAAAATGGTTTACTTTATGGTTTAATAATTTCAATGCAAATTGCTTCTACATTTGTGGAGACAAGGTCATTTCTTATTTTATAGTTTATGGTATTGTGTAAATAAATGCAAACACCACCACCATTCCTTGAACGGTCTTTTCGGATTAAATCATATCCAGTTACATGCATCAAACCATCGTTAATGGTTGAGTGAAGCCTAGTTTCGTTAAAGGCTATTAAATCAATATGACCCTTTGATAAGGAGCACCTTATCTCATCAAGATTTTTTGGGAGACTGACTATGTCGATGATTTTCTGATCACTTATTTTTTTGTGCCACCTCCACATTTTGGCTATGTTATAAACAATAAAAATATCTCCAATATGGCCAAGTTTAGAAAAATTCTACCGTGTAGTTTTTTATTTATAGGCCTTTGTTTGAAAAATTACATGGATATAGGAAGTTAATTATATAAGATTATAATACGGGCATTCGTGTCATCCGACTTTGTCAATGATTTTCTACAACTTATATTTTTGTGCCATCTCCATATTTTGGATATATTTTAGACAATATAATTATCTATATTCTGGCCAAGTTTAAAAGAATTCTACCGTGTAGTTTTTAAATTATAGGCTAATTAAGAGTAATGGAAAGTACACTGTAATATAAATCTTAGTGTTTTCTTCAATTTCTTGACTTTTATACATTTTTTGTGATGGTTAAGGACAGTAAAATAGTAATAAACAGTTAAGAATTGTTTTTTACTGTTGTATTTGATGGAAAACGTGTTTTAAAGACGATTTTTCGATTTATCATTTTGAATGATAAATTTTAGTTGAATGTGGTGATGAATGTTGTGATGAATGTTGTGTTGAGTGTGGTGCCCAGTGCGGTGCCAATTTCACGGTAGTTTTCTGGCTCACATGTCCACTTTCTAGACCTCAAAATAACCAATAATGACATTGATATATTTCGTAAAACAACTCATACTAGCCAGTATACACATTTTTCAAGTTTCGAACCTTTCAACCGCAAAACTACTTGGATCAATTTCCTATTTTTTCGCAGATTTAAGATTTGTTCTAACCAAACACTATTCAAAAAACAAATTCAAACACTCCAGTCTTTTATGTCATGGAATGGTTTCCCTCTTACAGTCCGGAAATTCTTGATTCATAATCTCAAAACCAAAATCATAGCTGAAAATAACCCCCCTAAACAAAATACTGAGAATGACCTTCGTAAAATTTTCATTAGAATACAATATCTAGGCAAACAGGGTGAACGTTTGGTTTTCAATCTTCTTCGTAAAATTCACCGTAGCTTAAAAATTCCCATCAAATCTATAGTTATATATGAAACAAAAAAGACATCAATTTTCTGTCCCAAAAAGGACAAAATGCCAGAACACTCTAAAGTCAATGTTATATATGAGTTTAAATGTCCAGGTTGTGGTCATACATACATAGGCAAAACTGAACGAAACCTACACACAAGACTAACCCAACATGCCACTTATTACAATAATTCTAGTGCTATCTCACAACATTTACTCATTTGTCCAGAGGCCAACTACATCTCACACCTTTTCTCACTTCCTGACGTTGATTCCGACCCAGATCTCACAATTGTGAAACTCGACATGTTTTGTAAATTTCGACATGTTTTGTTGCTCTGCTTTGAGGAGTTTAATCAATGTCAGCTCGTAAAGCTGTTGTTTAAATTCTGGTAAAAATTCAAACATCAGCAGCCTTTGATTCAAGAGATGACATTATCATTGTCTTTTACACAACTAACAACTCCATACCACAATGCTTCGTTTATTTCATGCATTACATATCTAAAGAATCTACCATAGTTGTAAATTTGGGGAAAAAATAGATAACATTTCCTATATATTTCGATTGCTATATATGTTTTTCCAATAACATTTCCTGGAGATTTCTTATAGGAATTTTAATATTCATAAAGGTTTTTAATTCCCACTATTTTTTTAAAGGATTTCCAGTCGGAATTGCAAAACAAATCACCATTTATGGAATCCTATAGGATTTCCTACAGGAATTCAAATATTCCTATAGGCTTTAAAATTGCCGCCATTTTCTCAATATTTTTCCTATCGGAATCGGAATAAAAATGAATTGACTCTTCCTTCCTATAGGATTTCCTACAGGAAATTAAATATTCCTATAGGCTTTAAAATTGCCGGCATTTTCTAAATATATTTCCTACCGGAATCGGAATAAAAATGAATTCAATCTGCCTTCCTATAGGATTTCCTACAGGAATCTTATATTCCTATTGGAATTCTAATAAGATCCTATTGATAATTTTTGTAAGGGCATCTTCCTCCTGTCCTCATTCTTTGGCATACCGCTCCCAACCTCTGGTGGAAGCGTCTGTTATAATTGTCAGATCTATTGGCAAAAGCTATATTGCTGTACCATTGCAATGCAAGATCGTCAGTGATGTCAACCACTGAAGCTCTGCTAGTGCTAATGGATTTAGCAGAATTTGCACCCGTGATGACCATATATGGCAACCTCTCCTGTGCGGACAATTGATGTACGCTCGTTACAAGGGAAGAGGGGCAGAATCAATGCCAATCCTTGCCACATGATTAATTAATCAGACAAATCATTGCTGACAACGTCTGCATTAAACAGCATTTCTTCATATGCACCCTCATCACGCATTCGTCCTGGACAGCTAGGAGTTTTTCCTTTGGTACAGCAAAGGATATCTTGTGAGAAATTATCACGGCCCCAAGAAAGACTCGTTCTTGAGAGGGAAAGAGGGGGAATTTCTTCAGCTTGATCAAAAATACCAAATTCCTTATCAACACAAGTACACTGTTGAATATCTTGACTCTAGTGCATTATTAGAATGTCAAATTATGTCATCTAGGTAAATTACTATCCTGATTCATAATGAGCGTAATACTGCTATCACCGGTTTCATCAATCTTGTGAAAGCGCCAGGGGCGGAGGTAAGCCCAAATAGAAGGGAATGAAACTCGTAAGTCTTGCTTTCAAACTCCAGTCTTAAGTATTTCTTGTGTGCTACATGTATGGGAATCATGAAGTACGCGTCTTGTAAATCCAACTTAATCATATAATCTTTCGTTGCAAGAATACACTGAACCATGTATAATCCTTTCAGTCTGAATTTCTCTCCGAGGAAACAATGATTAGAGACTTTAAGTTGAAAAAAAGTCGGTTTTTCGTACCTTTTTTCTTAACATATAGTGTCGACGTCTACTGATTTTTTACTCGGTCGAACTCCTTCACAGCTCCATTCAGCTGTAGTTTGTATATAGCTATCTCTATCATCTTGGTTTGCGCGTCTGAACTCCTCCTTTTTTTTGCCTTTTGTCGCCACTGATGTGGTACACACGTCTGGGGAATCTGGTACCCTGTCACCATTTGTGAGACCTGTATGTCTCATGTAAGTTTTATCCAATTTTTGAGGTAGTGATTTAGCGCCCTGCCGTTGACACGACTGGCGGAATGATGTGTAAAAGTTGAGGTACACAGTAATTTTCAACTGTCCTTGATTGTTGCTGATTGTGTCAAACTTTCTAAGGCGCAGCTACATTTTCTTTCGTACTCGTCTCCATGATTGGTGCAACTAAAATATCATCTGTGCCTTTAATCTGTGAACATTTTTCTATCAGATTTGTCCAAACATCTTTCGTCAGTAGTTTGAAAAAGGTTGTTTCAATAACTTCTAATATCTCATCGGAAACAGTTGACTCTGGTACTGTAAAAAATTGAAGAAAGCTCATATAAACTGGAAACCACAGAAAATGAAGGTAAATTTAGCAGGCAAGCACTCAGCCCGAGTGTTGCAGACGCTTTAGAATTCTTTGAAGGTAAGCTCAAATTTCCACAGTTTAAAGGGTGTGAAAAAAAAATTAAATTCATTCGAGTATTTGATTGCTTGTTTGACGTTTTGAATTCCATAAATCCAATTGCTAAAAATTACAAAGTGCAAATAAGGAAAGCGAATTACAAGTTATAAAGACCTTCTTAGATGAAGCAAGGCAATACATCTTAAATCTTAAGGGTGCTGATGGAAAGTCGACTTTTCACGCAAGAGAAAAACAGGATTCCCGTTGTTCTTGTTTTGCATTGAAGCAATGCAAAGGCTTGCTGAGGATCTTGTCATAAATGAAAATCCTCCCCTTAAATACTTGCTTACTTATAAAACAAGTCAAGATCATTAAGAATTTTTTTAGCTGTACGAGCTTCAAGAGGTTGGAACAACAACCCGTCATCTCGACAGTTCAAAGCAGCGTACAAGCAGCTGTTGATGCGACATAACATTAAAGGAGGTCGTAAAAATCGTGTTTCTCAGGATGCAACCGAAATTCTAAGTAGAGTAGAAGATCGATGTGAGATTGAACAAATGTCTGCACATATTTCTGAAGTAAATAGTACAAGAAGATACGATCTAGAAATGCGTTTTCCAGAACAAACTGACCACAATTATTTCGACACCTCAAACTACATTCAGCTTTCAGAGTACAAGGAGGCAGCAATATCGTATATTGCTGGCTATGTTACTAAAATGGTGAAAAGGAAGACCCATTGTGATGATTGTATGAATTCTCTGACATTATCTAAAGAGAGAGCATCAGAACTATTTGTGGCATGGAAGAGCAATGGTGGCTCAAAAATACCAACTGACGATCTTTTGAAAGTGTGTCCGGAAACAGAGAAATGCGTAATGAGAATGATGAATTCCTGTCATGGTGGCTTGCCATATGCAGCAAACATATCAAGTGCAATTGCTGCGACGGTATTGTGTGTGTGTAGAGAAAAAAGTCTTCAGCATGTTAGATGAGCATGTGTTAGAGTCGAAAATTACAGATAATCATGCTTATAAACGGATTAAGTGTTGTGCTGAGGCATTTGTGAAACTTCGAATGCATTACTTGACCAAAACGTAAAAGGACAAGTTCAGACATGGTCAGAAAGTTGGTAAAAAGCTGTCTAAGCTTGTGTAGTTCAATCATAAGTCAATTGAACATTGCCTGGACACTAACAAAATCGCTTTTTACATATGAGTTCATCTAAACGTCATCACTAATATTTGCCATTTTAATTTCCGAAAAATTAAATGCCTTTCTCGACAACACTGCTAACGTTTTGAAGGGGAGAGGCTAAGCCAGCCCATTCACCCTCCCCTCTTCAGGATTTACACCCCTGTTTCAATGTTACTGATACAGCAATTCACGAACAGTGAGTTATGCACGCTAATTTTACAAATATATTATTATTGGAATCATCTCATACAAACTATCAAAACTTTAAATTCAATGCAATATTTATTTCTTTATAGTTTCAAAAAAAGGTTGATCTTATTAACAAATCAGAGTACACAATTGGCGTTTGTCATTTGCATTTTTTCCCACTTTTTCCTAAAAACAATAAATATATTTAAAACTTGTCTAGGCTTTTCTTTGCTAATTTCCTGTTTTTGTTGTATTTGAACAACTATCCTTATTGGTCCATGGATGAAAACGAGGTTAGTACAGATTAATAATTGAATAATTTTCTGAAAAGCTTTATATGAAGCTTCCAGCATGGAAGAAAACAAAGAGTGATTCATTCAAATGGTTTAAATCCCTTACTGCAAAATATCTATTTACACTTTATCGTTTTTTGCGTACAAAAACTCCAGAGGCTAGATTATACTGTACAGGAAAAAACTATGGAAACTGGTATCAAATGTGTATAAATTTTTTTTTTTGAAAACTGCAAATCATTGAAAAAGTTCAATTACATTCTAAACAGGTCAGGGAATAGAAGAGAAAGATTTCCAGAAGTTTGTATTTAGCCAAAATGCTTATACTGCTTAATGATTACACAATATATAAATGCATTAAAATGCGCTAAAACTCTACTACTATTTGAGGTGGCTCCACGTCTGAAAACCAGAAAAATGAAGAAGGTAAACAGTTTTTTGTATACAATATTGCTCTCATAGAAATATAATATACACCCAACAGCTCTCTTAAGACATTCTTTCCTTTACACCTGAGTCTTTTCATCATGAGTCTTTTCCCCTGAAAATCAAACCTACAAATAACAAATCAAACAGCACCGAACACATGAACTGAAATCATATCTCACCAAACATAAAGACAAAACCATAATTCATGATACAGCCAACGCGATCTACATGATACCATGTAAATATTGCTCAAAACAATACCTAGGACAAACATCAAAGAAAATCGAAACAAGACTCACAGAAAACAAAAACGCCATAAAACAACGACACCCAAGAACAAAAAGAAAAATGCCATAAAACAACGACAGTTTCTGGGAGAGTTTTACATACCATTCAAATCAGTAAAGGATCTAGGCGTAACTTTGGATCGAGAACTCTTGGTATACCAACTTGGAACATCCCCCCCCCTGAACAGATCACAGCATTTACCAGCACCTTACAAACGACTTATTCACAATACAAACAAACGATCAACTAAAAACATTACACTTCACACTAATTCACAATGACAATACAAATTTCCTGTACACACAATACAATGACGTAAGAACCAGATAAAAAATACGGCTAACCTGACGTTTACTCCTCATTTGGCTTTAAAGATGACTACCGCTAAGGTTGTCGAAACGTCTGTCAACAACAACAAAAATAGTCCTTCTCAGGACTATACCAACCTGGACGATCTACATTTACAAACATGTAAATTTTTGGATTCTTTACTTAATTATGGTAAAACTTACTAATATTTGTACTATGTTGCATGTACATTAACTGAAATAATTTTTGTAAAATAGTGTTTAATCTTGTAATAGTTCACTGAGAAGCCCTTTCTGGGAAGTGGCTAATAAATTTTACTACTAATACTACAACCACTAAATTAAATTTTGAATAACTTCAATATGTATTCACCAATTGACAACTGGTACTGAATCAAACTGGTAGTAAATTACGAACAATGTGGAGGATAGAACATCGGTGCAGTTTGTTAAACAATGAACTCTTTTACAATGAAATCAAACAAGCAATTTAAGTTAAACGAGCAGTATTATTCACTAATTTCTCGATCCCCTTAAGTCTAGTCCTATCGAATTTCATTGAGCAATGCAAAGCTTGTTGTAGACTTGTAGTAACTGAGCACAGAATTCTCAGCTCTTATTGTTTGTACGGGCTTGTATTATTACAGCTATTAGGACGCTTATGGCTTGCTCAACATGAAGAAACACATGCAAGGTTGGCCTCACTTAGATAAGAAAGATATGAAAGAACGCACTTGTTGAATTGTTTCTTTCGCTACAAGCAAAAAACAAGACCTGCGTGATAATGAATATTCAGGTAATACAAACTGTAAACTTTTAGCGACTGCTACTGAAGCAGTTTCGCACTTTTTTGTGCACAGGTTGGAATATAGAGGTCATGAAAAGTCAAAACAAAGCCTTTAATTGAACGTCATGTAAATAGTATACATTAAGTAGGTTGTGTAATGATTGTGCCTCGTGTCTTTATTAAACTGGGTTCAGACTACTCAAATTACAAATTAATCAATAACTCATGACATCATCCCTTCTGAGATTAATCTAACACTTAACTGTAATAAGGTTGTAATCTATATGTTGGATTAGCTAAGTGACAATGTTCTATAAGTAACTTAGGTATCTTGGCCAAATCTAGTTGGTGGTTTTACAGTCCTGCCATAGCGGGTCACATAAGCGTAGCTGGGTGGAGTAGAATGTTCATCCTCACTTGTTCGTGTGTCCTCAGGCTCACTATGGTGCACATGAGGCTCTTCAACTTCTTCTGGTTGGGAATTCTCAACAGGTTCAGGAGTGACTAATATATCATGCCTGTTCCTTCGCAATTGGCCTCCGGTGTCAGTTTGAACGATATATGACCTTGGTGTCTCTGCCTTCCGGATCACCTGTCCTTTTATTCTCCAGCCTTTGCCATCGTGAAGACGAACATTTGAACCATCTGAAATCTCAGGGAGAGTTTTTGTATGCTTATCGTAGTACTGTTTCTGTATTATAGATTTCTTGGAGATTTCTTGGGTCTCTATTGAGGGTAGGCGAGTCTTTAGTTTCCTATTCATTAACATGGCTGCTGGAGCTGGAGTACCGTCAGGGCTTGTGCAGGCTCTGAAGTTAAGAAGGGCTAGGTATGGGTCATCACCAGACTTAATGGCTTTTTTCAAGAGGGTCTTGACTGTTTGTACTGTGCGCTGGACTTTCCCATTGGACCTCGGATGAACAGGACTTGAGGTGACGTGTTGAAATTCCCATTGCTTGGCGAAGTCTCGGTATTCCTTCGAAGCGAATTGTGGTCCATTGTCTGTGACTACTGTGTCTGGTATACCGTGTCTTGCAAATATTGACTTTGTGTGCTTGATTATTCCGGCAGAGGTAGTTTCTGAAAGTAGACTTACTTCTGGAAAACTAGTATGGTAGTCGACAATTAGTAAATAGTCCTTGCCATTCATGTAGAATAAGTCACATGCTACTCTGCTCCAGGCGTGATGAGCTGGTGGTAGTGGCATAAGTGGTTCGCATTGCTGTCGTTTTCTTGATTCTAGGCATGTTTCACAGCGGGAAATCATCTCATATATTTCTGTAGCCATCCCTGGCCAAAAGATCACTTCTGTTGCTCTTGTTTTGCATCGTTCAATTCCTAAGTGTCCCTCGTGAATTCTTGCTTTCATCTCACGTCTCATTGAGGAGGGTACTATGATGCGGTTTGATCTAAGGAGGATTCGTTCAGCTTCTGATATTTCATCGATGAATGTCAGGTATGGCTTGACAGCATCAGGGATGAGTTGTTTGTTGGATGGAAGACCATTGACAATTATGTTTTTCAGCTCTTGAAGAGTAGGATCCTTAGCAGTCTCGAGTTTAAATTCTAGTAGCTTGGAATCTGATACTGGCAGGTTGTGCAGAGCTGAGTGCACATGACAGTTCATGTCTTGCTCCGATATCTCTGGTGTGGGTTTACTTTCCAGGTATGCTCTGCTAAGAGCATCTGCAACGGGAATGTCCGTTCCTGGTGTGTAGTCAACACTTAGCTCATATCGCTGGAGCCTGAGCAGTAGTCTTTGCAAGCGCGGAGGAGCCCTGCATAGTGGTTTTGAAAAGATTGCTTTGAGTGGCTTGCAGTCTGAACGTACCGTGATTGGTCTGCCGTAGGTGTATTCGTGGAAGCGCTCGCATGCAAACACAATTGCCAATGTCTCTTTTTCTATCTGTGCGTAGTTTTGCTCACTTTGGGTCATTGCTCTGCTAGCATATGCGACGGGCTTCCAGGTGTTCTCTTCTAATTGCTCGAGTACTGCACCAAGACCTGATTTAGAGGCGTCAGCTGTGATCCTTATGGCATGTTTTGGATTAAAGTAGGTTAACACTGGACTGCTGGTGACGAGGTGTTTTAGATTTTCTATGGCTTGACGGTGTTTCGTTTCGAAATGCCAGACGACGTCTTTTTCAAGTAGTTGTCTTAGCGGCGCTGTCTCATCAGATAGGCGCGGTAAAAACTTTCCGAGGTACGTCACCATACCGAGAAAACGTTGAATTTCGACTTTGTTGCTCGGCATGGGCATGTTGATTATTGCTTCTATTTTTCTAGGATCTGGCTTAATGCCTGCTGCAGTGATTACATGTCCTAAGAAGGTTGTCTCGGAAACCCCGAAGCGGCATTTCTTTTCATTCAGTTTAAGTCCAGACTCTCTTACTCTGTCAAGTATGTCCTTTAGTGCTTTGTCGTGCTGCTCTTTGTTCCTACCAAAGACTATGATGTCATCTTGGTCGTTTGCCGCGTTCGGTATACCATCAATGATTTCAGCAACTTTCTTCTGAAACACTTCAGCGGCACTGTGAATCCCGAATGCTAGGCGCTTAAAACAATATCGTCCAAATGGCGTGTTAAATGCAAGTAGTTTCGAGCTGGCTTCGTCGACTTTAACTTGCCAGTAACCGCTGGATGCGTCAAGCTTTGTAAATATGGTGGCGCCGCCCAGTTTGGATAGGACTTCGTCCACTGTAGGCATAGGATAATGATGACGTTTTATGGCAGTGTTCAAATCTTTAGGGTCAAAACAGATACGTAACTGGCCATTGTCCTTTTCTACAACTACCATGGAGCTGACCCAATCGGTTGGTTCGTCAACTTTCTCTATGACATCAAGCTTGCACATGCGTTTTAACTCAGCTTTGAGACGTTCCATAAGTGATATTGGAATCTTTCGAGGTGGATGAACTACTGGCGTTACATTGGGGTCAATGCTAATGTGATGTTCACCCTTTAGGCATCCAAGTTCTCCAAAAACATCTTTGTACTCTTGTATGAAGTTTGGTGTTTTAGCATTTACGGTCCAAACTCGCTTTATAAGATTGAGGTCGATGCCGGTTTGTAACCCAATTAGTGGCGGTGAAGTAGTGTTTGCAACAACAAACGGTAATGCGTGGGTTTGATTGTTATGTTGAATGTCTAGCGTGCATTTTCCTACCACTGGAATGTTCATTCCGTTATATGCTGTCAACGTTGTATTAGTTTTCTTAATATGCGGTCTAGCTGCTAGTTTCTCAATTGTTCCCATTGGTATGACGTTAGCCTGAGCTCCAGTGTCAATTTTGAACCGCGTGACACTTTCATTTGATCGCAGAGAGATAATCCAGTCACGATTTCCATCTTGCGTAATATTAGCCGTATTGACGGAGTTGTCTGTCACTTCCGTTGAGAGAGTTCCTATGAAAATGTTATTGGCATCGCTTGCGATCTCGTAATCGTGACCTTCATGACCTTCCGTGGTATAATGTACGCTGCGGGACGTAGATAAGCAAACAGAGGCAAACTGATTCAATTTATGACACTTTGAGCATGTTTTTCCTTATGCAGGACATTTTCCTCGTTGGTGAATTTCACCACAGTATTTACAATTGCTGCGAGCTTGCGAAGATAAAAAAGTATATGCGCTTTGTTGTCGTGGGCACCTTGTATTGTTTGATTTCGTGCGTAGTTCGTCGACATTGTTCTGGTTTCCGGTGTGTGGTCTGCTTAATGTCATTGCTTGTTGCTTTGTTGCTTCTGATGCCTGACCAATTTTTATTGCATTTTCTAGAGTCAAAGTCTCCGTCCTTAACAGTCGCTCTCTAAGCGGGTTGTCTGAGACCCCGATTACTATCATGTCTCTGATGAGTGATTCTCTAAGGTCGCCAAATTCACATTGTGCACTTCGTCTTTTTAGCTCGGTGACAAAGGCATCGAATGTCACCCCATCATGATGCTTGTGCGTAAGGAAATTGTGTCTAAGTAGAGTGATATTTTTTCTCGGCTTGCAATATGCTTCAAACTTCTCCAATACTGGTTTCAATTTCAATTTGTCTGCCTCGTCAGAGAACGTAAATGTACTGTAGATCTCTATGCCGTGCTTCCCGATACATGTTAGTAAAATTGACGTCTTGATATCTTCTGTTTTCTCGTGTGATTCTGTAGCTACCAGATAAAGCTCGAATTGTTGTTTCCATCTATCCCATAAATCTGATAAATTTCCTTCGAATATGAGTGGATCTGGGGGTCGAAATTTCTCCATCTGACACCATGTAATGATTGTGCCTCGTGTCTTTATTAAACTGGGTTCAGACTACTCAAATTACAAATTAATCAATAACTCATGACAGGTTGAACTGCGAATGGATGAGTTGTATTAGAATCTCTTTCAGAAATTCATATTGACTTCATCACTTGTGGTAACTTTTAATAAGTGCCTTAGGTTGTTTACTGTGTTTATATCTATCTGAACTTCAAAAGAAAGTGTTTTAATGAAATTATGAAGAATATTAGCTTGAGAACATTCTTTAATGAACTTCTGTTTGCTATAATTGCCATCATGTCTGTCTTGATAAAGTATCATGGTAAAAAGTTTATCGATGATACTTTGTTCATTCTTTACAAATACAATTTACAGAGATATTGGTAAACTGAGTTGTTTTGGATAACTAGATTGTTTGATCTTTTTAACATGTCGTACTGCTATTTTATTTGTGCTTGGTAACTAAGGGTTCTTTTAAGTGGACCATTTTTGTTAATTTTCAATAAAAATGGTTAAATCGATTGACAAAATGTTATTACATCGATCCAGGGATTTTTATTCATAACATATAAACACGCTAAATTATTAAGGCTTCTTCATTTGGAAAATTTTTCATTGAAAATTTAAAGAATTTTTTTGTGCTGCTTCATAGTAGTAATCGTTAAACAGATGCGAACTTGGAATCTTTCGGCGCATTTGACTTAATCGCGATCCACCGTAAGCACTCGTATACTCGATGTGTCGAGTATTTAGTAATAAACAACTTCCGACGTGACCGTGTTATCACTCATAAGGATTTATTTACAAGGAAGTAACTCTGGAAAGTTCTTGAGTTTGGTAAGTTAAAATTTTCTAACCATTTTCATGATTTGTTTTATGCAACTTAGAAATTTTCATCGGCTTAATTAGTGATTGGCGAGGTGTAAATTTGTAACTGTTGTCTTTGCATTTCCATATTTATAATTGTAACCGCTTCTGAGCAAAGACTCTTGTTATTTTGTAAGTGATCACGTAGAAAGCTTAACTGATAATTACTGTCAACGAAGTTGTTATGTTTTGTTAGGTTTGGATGTTAATGCCATTTAAATTTGCGCCTTGTTAAAATTGTTTTCCAAGGACTTATGTTAATGTTTACGTATTGATAATCAATACAGATTCGGCAGCAAATTGTACATACGTAGTTATAACAAGCGCGCTATGTAAAAATAGTCTTGCAATCATTTTAACATTATAAAATGTGCAGTGCTTTTGTTAAATTACCGTAATACTCTAATATACGTCTGCCCTCAATTTTTCAACGCACTCGAATAGACACTGCATCAATTCGTATAAAAATGACAATGATTGGGTGTTCATATATTTTTTGAAAGCTTAAAAAATTAAAGAAACTAAATTTTCTTTTTGTAGTGTTGCGGAATTTCAAAATTTTCTGGGAGCAATTAATATTGCATTACTATTATATTTTCCAGCCTTATGCCTTCTTGTCAACGCTCCTCGTTCAAATCAGGAAGGTTATGTTAGATTTTACACGACAATATAAACTTTAGGTAAACTGAGGCGGTCTGTCAAGTGTCTTTGCGCTTTTAGTTGTATTTAACGTCAAAGTGTTCCAGTTTTTTTCATTAACTGTATCTTTTTAAGCAGAGTTCTTGATACTGATTTCATTTTTATATTGTTTATTCATTTATTTATACGTTATTTATTCAAAACCCATGTGAAATCAAATGTCTTTAAAAGTTCATGAACCGCCAGAACGCTTGTAGCAAAAATTACGATGTTTGGCCTTGGATATTCGTAAAAGTAGATAAGCATTAATTGTTCATAAATCGTACAATTGAAAAATCTTTCATTGAAAATGACCATTAAGTGAAGAAGATTGATGAATACAGTTCACATTATATTGAAAGCTTAATTTCATGTCTCGATT